TTGAAGTGCACAGTCGCTGGTGTGTGCTACAGTCGAGGTCCGATTTCCTGAACCCTCAAAGGACCGCGAAAACGTCCGAAAAGTTGGGCAGTCCGAAAAAACAAATGCACGTGAAAACGCACCTTTTTTTTTGTAGGTATTTTTCGCTGACGGAGAGGGTAATGGCTGGAGTACAAGATTCCCATTGCAATTAAGCTAATGCACCTTAAGGTGGCTCTGAAAATAGCCATTCACTGAAATAGCTCTGAAATAGCCGTTCTCTGCTTTAGTGGCGTTTGTCTCTCCCGCACGCGCGCCTTTACCCGCTGTAAGACGGGTGCGGGGGAATGTTATTGATTGGGACGTTACATAAAACATGACAGCGACGTAGCCAGGGGAGGGACATATCGGGATCATGCTCCCCTCTCCTCCTGAATTTTTTCCTCCATGGCATATATAGCACAAAAAGATGATTTGCCTGCCCGGCTCCTTTTTCATATCAAAGTGACCCTCCCCCCTCTCCCCCCCCCCCCCCCCCCCCCCAATATTATAAAAATTTCTGCCTGCGGTCCTGGTGAAGGCGAAAACCAGTTGAGAGTGTCCATATATTTGATAAAAACAAAAATGGCTCCTGCCTTCGAGTCGTCTTAAACGCGTGCATATAGTACTCTGCAGTTTTTTTTTTCCTTATGCGCATTTCTAGAGGGGTTTTGAATACAGGCAGAACATCCTAGCCACATAAAACATCGCTGTCAAAGCAAAACGAAGTGAGTCAAGTTGTCTAGTTTCAGCACAGAAAGATGAGCGCCGGAGGAGGTTGGCTTTATGAGACAACTGAATGACGCCATGCTATGCCCAGCAGTATAATCAGTTGGGAAGAAAAAGAAGCTTTCTCTATCCTTTAAGTCATCTTATAGGAAATGCAGTTGGGACTGTGCAAGTCACTAGCGTTGTACGTCACAGCGTTTTTCTACCATATCCGCTAATAACCACGTAGGTGTATTTAGAATGTTACTTCATGAAATGCAATTTTATTCAACCAGTATTCTGTTCATTTTCTATAAAAAATAGTCACTGAACAAGTTTTTCCAGATAGCTCAACAGCATGACTCTATTATTTTTGCGTCATGAACTGAGGGAGTGCTCCTATAATGATTAGTTTCTTGAGATTTTCAATGAACATTTCTAGCTCTTCACGAGCCCCAAAGTCATTATTCATGTCCTTGAATGTAAATACAACTTGCTACTCCTCCAGGATGTGAAGTTAGCTGTTCCACATTGCTCCAAAATGGAAAATTTTTGCTGCTCTAAAATAGGAAGTTTTGCTGCTCCAAAGTGCTCCAAAATGCAAAATTTTGCTGCTCCAAAAACTGCTTCATATGAGAATACCTCGGTAGCATTACTGTCAACGGTTGTGCTCACTTTTTTGCTAGCTCTGTGGTGCAATTTCGTACGCGCTCCAACTTCAGACGGAGGCGTTTCATTCCATCAAGTCGCAAGCGATTGGCCCATTCGAGCCGTGACGAATGCCGTGCCGTTCTATCGTGAGCCAAGGTGTCACGTGTCTGTTTTTGTCTATTTCGTTTAACGGAGGCGAAGGAATGTTCGGAGATACCATTTGAAGCGAAGCAGATGGATTGAAATGGCTGCGAGGCGGCATGGATTGGATCGAGTACTTTGTGCCTTTTTAGTATCTGAGCACTTTGAGAACATGGCGTTCCCTTTCTCAGCCACGGTTCTTCGTCTCACCTGTGTGGCTTCTGCAGCCAAGCAGAGACAACGAAGCGAGGTCAGTTATGCATTTGAGTAGTTAACTGAAAAAGAATTCTAACAATGGTTTTCGTCTGTCGAAACAAACAGTGCGTATCTTGTGCGGCAAATTGGGCCCTGTCATTGGATGCCAGCAAGCCAGTTGCCTTGTAATATACACCAATGTCAAAGCACAAATCGCCCAGACCATTGGACGGTCACTCACATTTGTGCCTCTTCGATAGCGGCAGCGTCACAGCGGGTCTCATGCACTTTTGCTGTGGCTCAATCCCTCCTCCGCCATCCCGTCTGTCTGTCCGTGTTCGTTGTCGTAGACAGACAAACGAACGGATGGATAGGCGGACAGACAGATGGACGGTCGGTTGGAAAGACAGAGAGTCGGACGGATGCACATTCAGACGGAAGCAAGAATGAATAGACGGATAGAAGACGAAAGCACGGAAGCAATTAAGGACAGACGGGTGTGCGGGCAGGCGGAAGCAAGAACAAACGAACAGATGGATGGATGGATGGATGGACAGAAGCTTGGGCAAACGGACGCTTCGCCTCACTCGTCACCATTCACTCCGTGGATGTGCTGTGATGTTTTTTTTTTTGGTTTTTTTTCTGCGCAGGCCCTTTATGGTGAAGCGCGTCACTTAGCTCCTGCTGCTATTGCTCGTCGGCGACGATGAAGCCGTGCCCCAGCTCGATGGCTTTCCTTGCGAGCTGGGGATGCTTCTTCATGAAGGCGAGCATCATCATGCGCTGAGTTTCGGAAACAAGGAGGAGACACTCTTTTTGGCTACCGGTTGAAGTGCCCTCCGCCATGATATCGCTCGACTGAACCAACAGCTTATCAGGCTGTTTGAATTTAAATAGTACTGGAGACTTGAGTAGAGCAATTTCCTAAAATGGGGTTGGACCTTGCACCACCACTATACGTCCCGCTCAATGGCACCACTGCCTAGCGTCATTTCAAAACAGTAACGAAAAAAATATGTTTCAATTGTGCTGCATTCTATATTCGACCTTTGAAAATTAGTGCCAACACATTTTAGTAGTATGCAATAATAGTTAAATATTCCTCAACATGTTCGAAACACTTCTCATTTTACTGTACAGTCCCCAAGGCAATTTCAAAATTGTGACGCACGCCTCCATTTCACTCATTGGCTGTTCGCTTCCCCTCGACCTCGCAACCGATGCACTTTTTGAGGTAACGAATAGAATGCCGCCGTCCGAATTTGGAACGCAAAAAAGATAACAAGCAGTAATAATTGCCAGAAATTTATGCCAGCTATTCAATAGAGAGTGGTTGCTAGGAGTCAGAGAAAATTTATTCTGCAAACAAAATTTCTCCGTCAGTTTCCACCAGCTTTGGTTTTGCTTGTATTGTTATATCAGACACAAGGTCGCATCTAGTGCCACTGGTCGCTGCTATGGTAGTGGCATCACGCACGCATGAGTGCGCACCTGCCCTGCAAAAAAATACGCGCCGCTCGAAACTGTTTTGCAGTCACACTTGAGTTGAGTGAGGAGGGGGTCAAGTCCAAGAGTAACAGCACCTCAGCTTCAAGTTCTATGGCGACGATGCTTTGCATCAGCTTGAGACATCCGCAGCCGTACATAGGTTTGTCTTGCTTACGACCTCAATGTGTCTCCTCCGCCGCAAGTGCACAGCTGCTGACCTAAGTGCAAAATCTTATAGCTACTCTGGTTATGTGTGAGCTCCACACATAACTGGGGCGCAGTGTATTGGTGCCAGCTACAGAGCTTCTCCCGATGGCAAAAAGGCCACCAGAGCACATCTCTGCCCCGACTACGGAGCAGCGCAAAACATTTTAGAAGTTCCTGTGATATATATATATTTTTAATACGGTGTGCAAAAATTCAAATAAATATGCTTGGGGGCGTATACTAGAAAGCCAACCGATGCGGAGTGAATTGGCTCATGAAGAGAGGCGACGCTAAACGAAATAGCGATATTCATTGTACACCTGAAACATAGAGGTATTATTCGCATCAGGGGCATAAATCTATTTTCGAACACCTGCAGGCTCTTATCGCAAAAAAACTAACATGTACTGAGTAATGTGTACGTATTCACTTGTCTTTTGCGAAAAACCAAGCAATGCTTCAATGCATGGCACGAGCAATAAAACAGCTCCTTGGTTCTGATTTTCTTAGTCATTGTTATTAGAAATATTTTGTACATTTATAATTTCTATACTGTTTCGTGGTCATTTATCTTCAAAGTGTGTGTTCTGAATTTTCTTTGTTTTCAATATTTTGTGTATATAGTGTTTTTTTTTTTTTTTTTGCACTGTTCATCAGCTCGCGACCAAAAATAAACACTATTCACATTTTTATTCATTCCAAAATATTTTTGTTGCTCTACAACAGTTGTTCTCAAATGGTGGTTAGCAGATCCTAGGGGGTCCACGAAGCCATTTCTATGGTCCGCGAAACCATCATCTGCTTTTCTTATTTTTTTTTACATTTAAAAAAGTTTTACATATGCAACTCTGTTTAAGTGTGACTGTGCCACGTATTGATGAACTGTCTAAAATGTAGTGATGCGGCACGTTTGTTTGATATTATTGGTAGAATAAAAGGGATCTGTTTCACAGTCCAGTTGTGTTGATTTACCTACATACACCTCCCCCCTCCCTACCCTCTGCTGCAAGGGGTCTTCCATTACTTCCACCAGCCCAGAAGGGGTCCCAGACACATTCATGGCTGAGAACCACTGCTCTACAACAGACATTTTTTGAAAAGAGCATATTATTGTGCAGAGTTTAGCATGCTGCAATGCGTGCTGGGGTATATTTAAAAGTAGCAAAAGCTATCTTTCCAAGACATGTAAAAAATAATCATATAATCATTTTCACGTGGTAATGAAACTGTTAAGCAGTTTACTGAGAGTTTACTGTATAAGCAATTACCCCTTTATGTTATGCCCTGTTAAGGGTCTTTAAGGGATATCAAATGATAATTACATTCATGAGACCAGTCTGCTAGTGCCATTCGATGAGTCATTGGCTAACGCCTTTGAAGTAACTGCAGGAAAGGCAGATGCACTGTCTCATTCCTCCAACCGTCCCAAACTTCCGACACTCCCCTATTTGTGTTTGTGAAGTTTGAATAGTAAAATTTTTGCATGAAGCATATTGAACAGCAGACACTTTAGGAAATATATTTGAAAATTTTGATTTCTTTAAGTGTCAGGTGAATGCATTGTTCATGATGGGCCCACCCCCATGATGCAGAGGACGGCCGACCACCGAAGCGGCCACGCGTGAGTCTCGGAGGCCCGGTTGTGGCTGCCGTGGTGGCTAGTAGCCCGCCCCCAGCCGTGCCGTTGCCTCCATCGCCCCCAATGGTGGTCCCCAGTAGCAGCAGCCTCTCGGAGGCCGAGCTTCTCCTGCCCGCTGCGGACTCAGAGGAGGACGAGGAGGAGGAAGACGTGGTTGCCCCCCCTTCCCAGAGCCCCTCCAGGGCGGCCCATCCTGTGAGCCCCCTCGCTCTGCAGCAACCGTCCTGCTTCTTCGCACTGCTGCGAGACTTTTTCAATGAAACGGCTGAGCAGAAGATGTCAGCTACCAAGGCAAGCCAGTATTCTCTGACTTGTCAAGTGACCTTATGTTAGAACTACACCTAAATGTCAATGTAGTTGTGTATTTTTATTCATCGTAACCTCATGTTTTTAAAGTATGGTAGTAGGCCATCTTTCAAGCATATTTTCAAAAATATTATGAAGAAAACAAGTTGGAAAATTTAAGATTCTGCAGTTTTGCTTGAAATGCAAAATGCTGACACTACAGGTGAACCCCGCTACAACGAAACTGACAAGGTGCAGAAAACATTTCGTTGTTGTGAAATCGAAAAATATAGCTGATCTGAGCTAGCAGAACAAAGGAGCGTTTATACTCAAAATCGAAAAAGTGCTTCCTATTCTTTCCCAGCAGTGGTATTGCCACCCATGCATAGCGAGGTGAAAAGCACGCTGGAACAATGCCTACAACCGCTTTCGTGAACGAACCAAACGTTAACACCAGCAGCAGTCCACGGTGTATCCGACAGGCGAAGGCAGGGTATCGTGGAGCGGTGACTTTCGCCTTACTCTATGCCATTCATATCATTCATTACTCATGGCTAGCAGATTTTGCTGACAGTGCGGACAAGCAGCTGCTTTGATTAGTTACCACACTGGCCGAGCACAAACAAAATGATAAGCATTGGCATCGAAAAAGGCATCGTAATAAGTGGGCCCCAAACTTGTGATCAGATTTCTTAGAAAAAAAGTGCACATATTATGCCAGTGAATATGGTATCTAACGCTACATGACCTGGAAGGTGCACTTTGGCACTTACTGTTACCCGAGAGCTTCGCAGCACTGCGCTTCCGTTGACGCTCGAAGCGCTCCAAAAATGTCAGGGCTAAGACTGTGTTCCTGTTTGGTGAGTTGGGTGCCTTCTCCTACTTGCGCAATGGCTGTTCGTTTTCTTTTTTCCTCTCTTTTTCATGCTTTCTCTGCATTACTGTCAGTTCGAAGGGCGAAGGAGTTGGCAGCGTATTCCAGCGGCAGGAACAAAGAAGATGGTGGCTGTCTCCTTTTGCCTTTAATTTTCTTGCTGTTCCGCGAGTTTTGATCAGCCAACCACAGCCGGCACCTTTTGTACAATGCGACTGATTGCAGGTTCTTTGTTGGCGGATTCCGCTTCCGTGTGTTGTCGCAAACAACCGCATTCATCTCTTTGGTGCGTACTGTGTGTGGTGTGCAAAAGCGCTGCGGACTATTGGAATTTTCAACTTCTTTTGTAGCAATGGCTAACGTCAAGAAGCTCAAAAATGTTGACTTTGCGACGAAGTTGTAAGCCGTTCAGCGTGTAGAGGTGGGCAAAAAATGTTTGACTGTGGAGGACAACATAAAAAGTGAGGCAGATATCAAGTCAAAGGCCTTGTACGTTGGGAGTCTGTCATGTGTGTGCTCCTGCTCACAAGAAAGTAAGAAAGGCTCCCTATGACTGGTTCTTAGAAGCGTGCGTAAAGAACATTGCAGTGTATAGCCTAGTGCTGATGGCCAAATATTTTGTCGCTGCACTCGATGAAGACAGCTTTGCCGACAACACCGGAGGGACATTAAAGGCAGATATCAAGTCGACATTGATTGTTGAAACGACAGTCCAGAAACCTCGTAAGAAAAAAAAAGTTGGGCTAGTTGGCTGGTATTCATAGTGAAACAGCGCAGATATGAATCAGAAAGAAGGTATGAAAAACACATGACATGTGGCAATCACATAGAAGGTCTGAACAACACAATGACATACAGGCTTCACCCGTGATGCCACTGTTTCCGTAACATTAAAAGTTTTGAACAAAGTTAAAACAGTTCAAGTAGAACCACGAAAGGCCAAATCAGCAAATGGCAAAAGGCTAGCGGTGATTCTATATATTCATGGTATTTTTCATTGCTTAAAAAAAGATTGCAGACAAGTTCAACGTTGATGTTCATTTTTTTGCCAAAATAAGCTCCAGACACCGTGTGCCAGAATTGATAAGACATTGTCGAGTGTGAATATGTTTTCTAGCAGTACGTGCAGAGTCAGGCACCGCATGCCGTTTGTCACTTGCAAAATTAATGTTGTCTATTCCTTTCCACTGTCATGTGGGGCAAATGGGCGCTGCCTCAACATGCGCCTGCGTGAGCATCATAGCTCTTTAAAGGGTCCACCATTCTCACATTTGAACACTCAATGTGCCGCCTGCGGTTGCACCCCAGAATTTCGCCGCACCACCATTGTTTTCAGGCACACCGAATCCCGCATAAAAGAAATAGCGGAAGCCTATGCTATCAGCAAAAATGGTGACGCGTGTTTTAGTGCACCGTCAACTGCATTACTGGATTGCAAGCTGGCGTATTTGGACAAAACTTGATGATGTTACATGTGTAGTCTTTTTGACGTGCATAGGCTGCGCACACATGTTTCGTTCTTCTTTCTTTGCTTTGCTTTTCATTTCGCTTGAATAAAGAAATCAGTTGTCAGCCAGTGCTCGTGTTGTCCAGACCTTTTTTGTGATTCGTCTCTGTGCTATTCCACTATGAAACCTCGTAGGGCTACTTTTGTGGAAAAGAAGGGCATATATTGAAATAAAACCTTGTTTTAATGGTCTGCATCGCTTTAGCACACTTCAAATCACCCGCAGGAATGCACTCTTTTAGACGTGACTGTGTCTGTGCTGTACCTTCCCCGCCTTTGCTATGCGGCCATTTAGTAGCAGTGAAAGTAACGGGAGCCACAGTAGCAACAATGTTCCTTAAACAATTTTTTGCAATCTTGGAGGCCATAGTTCTGCTTACTTGGTTCAACAGTGTTTTGTCTCTAGTTGTGGTTTCAACGTGTAGTCCAGCAACATTGGATGTGCTGTTGTCTTACATATATATTGGTGTTCTAAAATAAAGCGTTAGTCGTTTTGTTGTGATATGGAAGCTTGTCCGCTCTCTCCTTCGTGGCCCCAGGCAGCGACACCACATTGGCGACGAGTTTTAATGAAGGCGTTACCTTGCCTGTAGCCACACCGCCCTGCCATGATCTTTTCTGGCCTTGCCCCACTGGCACCATTTTTGCCCATGCAGGGCCGCCTACCGGTGGGGTGGCCGCAATGTTTCGCATGTTTGAAACCTTTGCTTTGGCCCCCGGGCCATCTGACTTTACTTCCTGGGTTCGTACAGGTCCTTGAAGTCTTTGAAAACCCTTAAATTTGAAAAATTTATCTTCAAGGTCCTTGAAAGTCCTGGAATTTTTTGACATCCTTGAAAACCCTTGAATTTCCTAAGCAGTGCACTCTCATATTGACATCGCGACCTCCTAAATGTGGTGCATCGGTGTGTCAACCTGTCAAACTCCTCATTTCTGAAGCAGTAATGTGGTGTGGGTGCACATGATCCCATTTTGCAAAAGTGCTTGTGAAAAAAAAGTTATTTTGCGGCGAGGGTAAAGCAGTGAGTGTGATAGCAAAAAATCAGAATGTCATGCGAAGGGCAAGCAACCCCATATACGCAACGTGCCGCTAAACCATGAAGGATGCACGAAAGGAAAGCACACAAGACGAGTGCTGGTGAATGACTGTCACAGCTCGACAATGGAAGTGTGCTGCTTAAAGAAACCAAGAAGGGTGCTAGAAAAGAACACATGTGTGTCCACAGGAGGAGTGTAAATTAACTACTGTCACAGTTGTTACATTTTAGTTGTTGAGCAACCAGCTGCGAATGTCAACTGTGCACAAGCTGACACTCTTGATGCAGTGGTGACATGAAATTTCAAGGCTATAGCAAGCACCATGTGGGTTTAAGAATATATTTTAAGTCACTTCCCAAGTGTACCTAAATGCTCATTCTCCTAAAGAGGCTCATCGCGAGCGCATCAAACACTGACGTAGCTCTATAGGAAGAGCAACGAAAGTTCTAGCGAAGTCACACCAGATCTGTAGTCAGGTGAGTGACCTCTGGATTTTCGTCCCGTACATACCAGCAAAGCATCGCTGCTGCAGATAGCGGCGAGTTTGTTTTGCAGGTGCTTGGTCTGGCACATGTGTGCGAGAGCTGACCATACTCAGCATGACGCGTGCAAAGCTCTGTGATTAAGTGACTAAGTCAGCTACACTGCTACGTACCTGCCCAACTCGGTCCTCACAAACAGGAACTGAAAATTGTCCATATCAAAAAGGTGATAAATAATATAGCAAGAATAAATGAATCTTGCTGCGTGTATCGTGCTTATTGGAGCTGTAATGAAAGCTTGCAGCAAAGAGCACGCAAGCCACAAATATTGTGGCACGATCCCTTTATGGCCTGACTACACATGCACATTGAAACCCATCAGCACGTAACTTTCTAACATGGTATCGTGCTTTCTTCCTATAGAGTGCGGGATAGGATGCGAGAAATAATTAAGACTATGCTTTTTTTTTTTTGAAATTGTGATATTCATATATTAATTGTAAGTGCAACGAAATTGGTGATTTTAGAAAATTTTTAGATGAGAAATTTCAACTTATCATACCACTTTGAGTTCGTGAAAAACTTGCAACAGGTCCTGGAAAGTCCTTGAATATTCTTGAATTTTCGCTTTGGAAACCTCTACAAATCCTTACTCCTGAATGACGCAAAGCCCTCCTGCTTCATAGCCTGGGAATCAAAGGTCAGCGTATTTTTTTCACACTGCCACCCCACGTATTTGAAACTGTCTCCCTGATTCTTAATGCAACTGAGATTGATGAAGTCAAGAAGTTAGCCGCTGTCCCATCGTCATATGACCAAGTCATCGCTGCGTCGACGCAGCATTTCACATTGACAGGCCATGTTGTCATGGAACGCCATCGCTTCCGCCGCCTCACCCAGCAGCCAGGTGAGTTCATACGGGAGTACGTAGCCGCTTTACGGAAGCTTCCAGCCTTGTGTTTTTTTGCCGCCACGGACAACTCTCTTTATGACCAGTGTGTAGAAGGAATCTCGTCAGAAAATCTTCGTGAAAGTCTGCCTTTAGAGGGGTCATCACTCTCTTTTTCGTATGTCATTCTCCTGGCACAGCAATTTCAGCAGGCTG